ATCAGTAAGTGATATTGAAACCCCTTATTTACTCGGAGGTGTAGGTGTTCATGAAGAAAGGAAGTGATGTGTGAGAGGATTTCCAATTTCTGAAACTCCATCCATTTGTCCCTAAAACTAAGCAATTAACCACACAGGCTGATTTCCAAGTTTTTATTCAATTTTTTTACTAACTGTTATAAAAAGGTAATGGACACCATTTGTAAAAAAAAAAAAGTGTTTTTGCCAATTCAAGGAACAGCTAAAAATAAATTAAGCCTGAAGCAGCTTACTAAATCGAAATTTCAACTAAGTACAGATACATGTATCCTACCTTTTGAGAAAACCATGAAAATACATCTTCCTTTTTCCCAGCCCGAAAGTGTTTGCATTGAAATCGAGATGGTGGTGCTACGCATCATGAGGAAATGATGGGAATTCCTCTTTTCAAAAAAATGACAGTATATTACTGGTAAGCGCAATGATTTCACAGGATTCTCGATCCTATAAGGCCAAACAAAACATACCTTTGGTTTGGGTCACCTGACCGACCCTATTGAAAGCAATAAAAAATGCAACCCCACACAATTTAATTGGTTATTTGGAAAAAAATATTTAAAAAAAAATTGGTCAAAATCGCAGACCGCCAGAACAATTTATAGGCATTTATCGTCAAGTTATGTTTCTTTCTTTCTGTTATTATCCGAAAGAAAACATCGTGGTCTAACATCAGTTTGCGTGTACACTGTACATGTACTTTAAAAATACGTACATGTACGTTGTACCAAGACCGCTTATGTCCTTCATTATGTAATTGTCATTGCAACGCAGTCCAAAGCACGTCTTTTGTGGCTTCCGTTTGGGTTCTCATGCACATGCACGCAAGACTGCAATTTGCTCTAGACATCGGAGAATGAGACATTTTCCAAAAACAAAAAGGAAATTTCTGCCAGTGAAATCTCAAAATGACATTCAGGGAATTCTTTGTGAAAAATCATGGGAAAGTTGACGACTATTTTTCAATTGATCATCCCAAAACACTTTGATTGGGGAACACTTTAAAAAATTAGCCTTGTCTGCATTTTATGTCCCAAAAAGCATAATTACACCGTAGATAACATTTCTTGTTTTAGTAATGCACCTGCAGTTAAAACTTAACACTGTAATAGTTTCACGGTATACATTTCCTCATGATTATTATTTTTTCTTCCCCGGTGAGAAATATGATTCAACAGTCTTGGCCCAGCCATTTGTGAAAAAAAAATTTATTGACATGGACCCAATGGAATTCCCATTAAACGAACCCACCAGAGAGAGATAGCCATGGTACTTTTAAAACCTTCGCGTAGTACTCAGGCATTTCTCAACATGCTTATTCTAGCGAGCAACGGGAGATACAAAAAAACATTCCGCCGACCTGGCTAGAAATGTGTTCTGAATACATTCCGATAATTCCAAACACGTGAGGACTGACAGACTGTTCTTACAAAAGAAACACATTTGTTTGTCTGCACTCTCTTCTGCGCAATGCATCCTATCTGTCACTTAATGGATTAAGACGGAAATGATTGAACAAAATGTACAATTTCTAATTCAATGTAGATTATTTTCTCATTACATTCAGTGAACATGCCCATATAACTCCTCATGTACACGTGCATCCAAATCTGCAGGGAAGCATTATACATGTAGGCGTATAGGCCCTGTATGTAGCATGTCTATGTAAATACATGTGCATGTACATGTGCTCCTTTCTCCTTTCTCGATATTAGAAACGGTGTGTGTACGGGATACGTACACGCTAACCATTTTGCATGGTTATTACATCTGGCGCACTTTTTGCAATATGTGCATTTCACATCAAAGTGTTAAGATATATGGATGTATATAGGTGGCTTTGGTGAAATAATTTTACCGCACAAAATAGTGATACAACTAGCTATTTTTTCTGAGCCGCATAACTGTACATACATGTATGCATACATTATGTACGTATCCTGCACTAATGCTTTTTATGGTAAGACGTGGACATGTAAAGATACTTTGTAAGATATTTTTTGTACGTATGTATATCCAGGCATTTCTTTATGGTGTATGTAACATCATCGATGAATTGAGGACAGGAACCAAATTGAGGACTCCTCGGTTAGAAAACGTGTACAAAACCAATGAGAGCTGTTGCAAAAAAGTTTAAGTACAAACAAAGGAAACGGGAAGAGGAACAAAAGAAAATCCTCGATTTACACCATAAACAAACGTGTGTGTACACTTGCATGTTCAAATGCATATTCCTGTAAAGCAATTGCTCAACATACATTGTAATTTGTACACTACGTACAAATGTATGGGTAGTGTGTTGAGTGGCTTAAAAACATCATGTGTACAAAAAAGATTAAAACCCTGATTTGGGAATTTGAGGGAATTGACCCTCCCACTTCAAACAGTCATTTCCAAAGAGATAGTGTAGCAATGGGATTTCAGTAATCAGATTTTGACACACTAAGCATTCATAATCTGCTGATGGCCATTTACCAAACAAATGCACAGAGCAAGATTGTTACTCCAGGGTTGATCTTGACCACACCCCTTCTAAAAAAAAGGGGTAGATCTACGTACCGGTACATATGTATGAATGCAGGTACCCCCCCCCCCCCCTGTATGTGGTATGACGTGTGTGTGCATTTCATTTGCAATAGTGATCTGCAAGATAACATATTTATATCAACCCAAATGTGACAAAGAACTAAACACCTCCTCTTGTCAATTATCTTGTAATGTTAGATAAATTGCACGGGGTAAACAAAAGCTACGTGTACAAATATAGAAATAGTGCACATATGGTACCGGTACCAGTACATTGTACATGTAGCTACAGCAAAACACCGTAACATGCATTGTATATATAACCCCAACCCTACTAAATTCACGGGACTTAAAGTTATAGTCCATCATTTGCAGCCATCCGAAAAGTAACTGGCGTAATTATTGTTGAAAAACAAACTTGGTTGAAAGATAGTAAGGGAACTAAACTCCCTGTGAAATTATTCTTTCTGGGAAGCTGTCATTTTGAAGTAATCAACGAAAGAAGGCATTTCCAACGGCGATTCTTAAGAAGCACCGTAGGAAAATTTAAATTAGTAGTTCGTTTTGTTATTCAGCGCAGCGCGCACAAGTATTGGAACGACGCACATGCGCGCGCGGTTGTTGTAATTCGTCGGATCAGTGCGCAACGTCGCGTATAGCTGCAATTCAAAACAATTCAAAACATGATTCAGTAACTTTTGATTTGAAATTGAGATCTTAGAATGCTGTTTTTCTCGGAATGTACAGCTGAAGCTTAGCTGAAACTTCATCAGGTTAGTTGCTCAGTATCCTTCATTAGATTTTGAACTCTTTTGTTGCTTCAAACGAACAAAATGCACAAATTACAAATGATGGACTGTAGCTTTAAGAAAATGTCTTTTATCCATGATGTGAATATATGTCAGTCAGTCAGAGGGGGGGGGGGGGGGGGGGAGAGAGGGGTAGCCACCCCAACTGCCCCCCCCCCCCCTTTGGGTACATGTACACTTACATTGTAAGGGATGGAAATATAGACAGCTAGGGTTTAATGGTAAGCTGAAACAAAGGGTTGATATAGTATATTATGAAGTATTTGTACATATTACCACACCTCTCAATCAGTGGCAGAATTAGACCCTTTGTATAATCCACCAGGATTTTAATATTGTGTTTGCCATGGCATAGTCACGGTTCACGCGCTGGCTGTTTAATTATAACCCAGCCAGCCACTCCATGCAATCTATACATCTCACCTAGTTTGGTTCATATTTAATGCGCAATGCAGGTGACTGTGTTCATGCGTCGGTAATAGCGCTTCTCACCGCAACGGTCAGTTGACTTAACAGCAAATGTCAACGTCATACGAAGACGGCAATATTATCTGTGATATTTACATGCACTGAGCCGGCGATATACCCTGATAGATGTACAGATTGTGCGTGCAAAAACTGCATTGTTAAATTTTCCATATAATAATAATTGTGTTTCATTGTGAATTTCATTTACATGTACATGTACATGTAAAATACATGGATATGTGGGAATAATGCCCAAAATATACCACGTTGTACGATGTACTTGGTTGTCACGCACTCAAAACCTTTAACATTACCCAAATGTCTCAATTATGGAGAAACATGTATGTGGCGTTGAACTGCTTCAGGGCACGGAATATCCTGATTGAAACTGGTATATGACCAAACAGCACGATACGTGTACATACATGTATGTGACACTGCACTATAGGGTACAGATAAATGAAGATTTTATACCCTTCAGCACACCACGAAGAGGATGTTTTGTGGGTTTTTTTAAGCTGCAGCCATTTTCGAAGTGTGGGCTTTTTGTTCTACAGGGATACACTTTTACATCAGTAGACCATTGTGCATCCATTGATTCTGCATTAAAGGGCCATTGAAGTGAATATTTCTTGGGAACACATTTTGTGCAACTTTATAATCCTCTTACATGTATGAAAACTATTTGACATCCTTGTTTGGTTAATTTTATTGAAAAGTGTGCTTCTCTAAACATTCAACCGAAAAGGGGCAATTTTGAATTTTTACTTACAACGCATGAATTGTTATTTAAAAAAATACTGCACGGTAAACTTGCGCGATCCCCCTGGCATGCTGGCAGTATTTATACAGTCAGTTAGTAAGCACACTTTTCAATTAACTCATCCAAAATCAATCATATGACCCCTAGATGACCTTTGACCTCAACTGTCTCAAGTCATCTTAAGTCCCTCTACCCAAAGATTATTGTCACCAAGTTTGGTTGAGATTGAAGTCTGACTTTTCATATGACAGCACGAAACAGTTTTTTAACCTAACCAAAATAGAAAACACACATGCACACGGACACACAAAAGGAATACACTATCGCAATATCCCCCTTTCTTTGCTTAAAAGCCAGGGGGGGGGTAGAAATTTGAAAGGGTGTTCTTTGTTACCTACCTCATCATAGCGTTCAAATGTTGCTCCGTGCAGCAGACCGTCCGGTACAGTAATCTGCCACTGGAAGTCATAAAGCTTGGCCATGATGGCAGAGAATGGGTTAGGCAAGGCTCCAGCCCAAACTAACAAAAAAGTCTCTAACACATCAGTTCCCGATTACTCCTGCGCCGCTCAATTTTTTGTTTTTGTTTCAGCGCTGAGGTCGTCAAGACCACTTCGCCTTATCTGCGTCCAAGAGACCCACAATGCAACAAGCTCAGTTCAGTCTGTTGTGTTACGAATTTCCAACACACCGGGTTGACGCGATCCGAAATTCATAGACTATGAATAGCAGATAGCGCCGATTTCAGGTGGAAATCGGAAGAGGTGTCGACCCACACATTTATTTATCTCCCTCTGGCAACCTGCCCTTAAAATAGCCCACGCAGCGAAGGCGGCCTCGGTGGAGTGGATGTCAACTACGGCAAAACCTCAGCAACAGCTTGCGATCTCGTCCATCCCAACGACCTTTAAAACGATCTTGGCCCACAAGAATTTCACTCGTATTCCGGGCCTCCCCCTAAGCCTGACGCATTGATGGGTGTTTATCTCGTCATGGGCTGCCTTGTTGCCTGCTTATGGGTGGGTGGGAGGGGGAGAAAGGAAAGGAAGACGCCAGCTTTCCCTGATGTGAGTCCCGTCTCGTCCTATAGTCCTCCCCGGCGTGAGTTTACTTCTTATTTTTCCTCGCCCCTTCCTGTCCGTCGGGGTTCTTCCCTTCGAGCGACAACAGTTTACCGGAAGTCACCTGCGGAAGAAAAAACAAAACGTCTATTTTTAAAAGTTTTCTGTGAAATGAGGGAAATATACATGCCAAATCAATCTCTTGAGAGTTTATTTTTACAGTGCAGATGTTCTGTTATTACCGGTAGGTTTTGTTATTTATGGGAAACAAGGCTGGAAATGTTAATGGGGTTTAATATGCCCTACCATCAGCTTTGAATTTAAAGGCATCCATATTTATGGGCTTCAGCCATTAACTTGACTCCAGAAAGTCTGGATCTGTCTTGAAATCTGTTCCGTTCCCGACCTTCAAAGATTACAATGATATTTATTTAATTTTCAAATGTTGATACGGACATCATGATTGTTTAAAGGTAGAATGGACCATTTGTCAGTTGTGATTTTTGTTTTTGTTTGAAACAACAAAGGTGCTCAAACTCTAAAGACGGATGCTGAACAACTAACATGATGACAGTTTAGCTCTGTGAATGCTGTATAGTTTAAGAAAGCACAATATCGATTTCAGTTCAAAAACTGCCCTGTCGTATTTTCAATTGCGCCCTCTTGTGACACAATCCCGAAATCAGCATTCGGGACATGATTCTCATTCAGCCGATTGTACATGTGGGTACATGATGTCACACACTGAACCCAAGAATAATAGCAGCCACGCGCTCATGTGCATCGTGTCAACACTTGCACCCATTCACGGATTCACCCAATTACAAACCAAATGGAAATTTCCATTAATGTGTAACTTGACACATCTTTGGAATGGACATTCTTTTATTGTTTTCTTCAAAATAACAGCATGCCAGAAGGAACAATTTCACAGAGATTTTAGTGCCATTACTATCTTTAAACCAAGTAAGAGTTTAACAATAATTTGGTTGGTTACTTTTTTGGATAGCTGCAAATGGTCCACTCTGCCTTTTACTTTTACTTTTGTCAAAAACAAAAGCAAGAATCTTAATTTTATTCAAAGACATCCTTGTTAATGTTATATCATTTTCAAGTCAGAGTATACAAATTTGCTCGACACAAACATCAAGCACCTTTACACCTTGCTTGTGGGGGGGGGGAACTCTCAAAAGGTTCACAGTCGTAAATGTCGTCTTCAAGACATTTCCTCCGGTGAGCATAGATTGAATTGTTCTCCGTGAATACACATTCTCAAAACCACAAAGAGAGACTGCATAATTGTCTGCATATATGCCATTACCATGGACCTGATTGACACTTCAACCGTAAGAAGCCTTTTTAATTTTCCTTTTTTTAAATCACTATACATTAGTTTTTCATGTTCTTCCAAAAAAAAAACGCATCATTGGAAAAAAAAGACATTTCAAAAAACTATTTTGTTAAACTGGTAATGCATAGATGTAAATGTTATGAACGCATAAACAAATTAAAAATGATTGTAGATGAATTGAAATTTTTGTTTCTCGGCTGAACATTTTTAGTATCAACATACCATCTTTGGTACAATGTATCTGACACTAAAAGCAGATAAAAAGGCACTGTTGCAAAATCAAAAGTACACAATTTTCTGAAGTGGTTATAAATAATTGACGGAAAAAAATAACACAGACGCTGATGAAATGCAAATCAAATATTAACATCAAAGATTACCACAATCTATCCTTGATACCTGGTATCAAAAAATACATGTAAACTCAACAGATGTAAATATGCCTAGATTTAGTAACAGACTTCGTGTAGAAACTCTTTCAGTTTCATTTCTACAGACTTGTGCTCTTAAATGTACTACACATTTGCAATTTGGTCATGTATGTCTATATTGGGCCCTAACTTGTCAAACTAAATGTGATGTACATGAAATAATAGATTCAATACGATTTTTAAAAATAATTTTGACATTAGGCCTATGTACAATAATGTACTTGACCTTTTCAAAGCCAATATTCTACATTTGACAAAAGCTTTGATAAAAAAAAAACAGAAACGTTTTATAGTCACTGATCATGTTTTAATCAAAGACATTTTTTCGTTATCAACATCGCTGATTATTCAATCACCACCCTAATCTTTGCCAGACATGTACAAATACATGTACATTCCAAGCAGCCACATGATCACGCATGAAACCAACATACGTATGCACACGTACATGTATGCTGCGCAATCGAAACCGTTAGCCTGAACAATATAAATACCTGCTTAATATAATGCATTGACTCGGTATTTGGGTAATATATTCCAGGTAGGCTGCTGACGTCATATAGCTGGCATGCTGGGCTGCATGCGTTACCGTCTGTACATGTACATTTAGGTAAGCGGAGCACAAAATTCATGCACAAGAGATAGGAGGGGCAGCATGAGTTGAAGATTGTACAATACGATTTCTTTTTCCCACGGCGGTGTGAAACATGCCGTGGGCTTGAGCTGCTTATGTTCATTGGTTGGTGGGTTGGTGGGTGGGTAGCCCCATAAATGTGGCCTATTTACTGGACTTGCTCCGTAAACATAGGCCACACATCCACATGTACAAAAGCGTGTCGCACTTTGCCAAATTTTGATTTTCACATTTAGGCTTAGTTTGAAGGGTTTTTTTGCTTTAGAAGCATACTCACCCTCTTTATAGGCTAATCAGAAAGTGCTGCCTTTTTCAGATGTCTAATTTTTGTGAAATTTCATGTTGAGATTTTGATACGCAAACGTGTAAAAATGAATCTGGAAATTTCACGAAAAATATACATCTGAAAAAGGCAGCACTTTCTGATTAGCCTATAAAGAGGGTGAGTATGCTTCTAAAGCAAAAAAAACCTACAAACTAAGCCTAAATGCGAAAATCAAAATTTGGCAAAGTGCGACACGTTTTTGTACATGTGGATGTGTGGCCTATGTTTACGGAGGCAGTCCAGTAAATAGGCCACATTTATGGGGCTAGTCGGTGGGTGGGTTGGTTGGTGGACACTTTACTCGGGGTGTATTATACTGTTCCATGTAACGCGTGTATCACAGCTTTGCCAGTGAGTTTCTATGGAATACCTGCAGTTTTGTGACACTGATGAGCGCATGCGTCTAATTTGCATATTAGATCACGCCCCATTGCCTGGCAAAATTCGCGGTTGAACGGTTCGTTGAACCGTCGTGGGTTGTACCACTTGGTACTTGTTGATCTTGTTTCTGTGAAATATTACGTAAGAAGTAAAACGGTTGTATTGTGGAGGGCTGCTCCGATCTCTAGTCTGTCCACCTTAGGGTTTCTGGTTCCCAGACAATGATTTTGTTTTTCTTGAGGGAGCTTTATTGGTTACCTCTGGGGAAATGTCATGTAATCTGATAACTGTAATGCAATCGTGATAATAAATATCTTTATCAAAAAAAAGCACAGGATGTGTTTCAGTGTATCGTTTCAACACACATGAAAAAAATAATGATGAATTGCATTGGGCCAAGGGACTCCAAAGAAAAAAAAAAGGAACATTCAGTAAATGTACATTTTTAACAAATTACAGAAACTTATGTTACCGTATCATTATTATCGTGTGAAGTTGGGTTGACACAAAATAACTCGGGGTCATGGAAAATAATCGGTGAAGAAATGCAGAATTTTTCCTTTGACTTTAACAATGTGTATTTGTATTTTTTTATAATCTGAATTTATGAATGAATTAATATTTGACGATGCAATGTCACATGTTCACATACTGGACATGAACATCTGTTAGGCAAAAAAAAAAAGTCTCCAGTTTCTGGTATGGAGCTTGCCCAAAAAGTGGTGCGGCGACGTGGCTTTTTTTTTTTTTTTACCTGATTTTTTTGCTTCAAATGTCGGCTGATGACTGCAAATGGTGCCCGACTAAACTTAGTGCAAATATATGGGAGTCCAGAGAGGCCACATAAAGCTTATTCTCGACCATAACCCAATCTAAAACACGTTAAAATTGTGCAGCAGCAGGATTCCAGTCAAACCAGTGAGTTTGGCGGTTTTGAGACATCATCTTTCATTGAAAAAAAACGTTTTCATTTTGCCGACGCGCATGGCTACGGCGAAGCGCACGCATACCAGAAACCGGAGACTTTTTTTTTTGGCCTTACAACATAAGGGGGTACATATAAGAAAATCAAACGAGGAATCCCCTTTATATTAAGCACGTAAGGCCAGAAAGAAAATGTGTGTTTATGGTAACACCCTAAAAATTATCCAGGTAGTTGGGCAGAACAATAACTTCCTTTGGACTTTTGTTATGCTTTCTCTGGGTCTTTCAATGTACATGTACTTTGTTTACTTTAAAAGCTGTATTGTGTTTAATTGTTTTCTTAACTAAGGCCAAAAAAAAAAAATACTCGGTCTCTGGTCAGCGCGCGCGTTGATTTTAATCATGTGCGTCAACCTTTTTTTTCCTTCAAATTAACACGGAAGCTACAACAGCGTCCTCTATTGCCGCGCCTCCTCAAATTTTGGTACCAAGGAGCACCAAGGAATGGGAAATTGCACCAAGGCAAATGATAAAGGCACCAAGGCAAATTATGGAGGACACCATTGTATAGGCCTAATGAGGACACAAAAAAGCAAAATAGTACCCACCTTGTCTGTACAATACAAGCTTGAAAATAAAAAAGCCACCCAAAAAAAAAAAAAACGCGTTGCCGCATCAATTCCGTAACTTCGGTCTGACCAGAGACCGACTATTTTTTTTTTTTGGCCTAATAAACACACACACACAAAAATCGGGAAGACTTTTTTAATTTTCAAAAATCTACTGAAAATTTTTTGCCAAATGTGGCAATACAAACTTCAAAACTTCAAACTTCAAAATTTCGAATTTCTCACTTATTTTGATGTACATACCGGTACTGTGTATTTTTGTGTATGTATGTACAGTACGTGTATGTATGCATAGTGTAATATGTGGGTGCATGAACACACATTTCATTTCCCAAATGAAATTACTGCCTAACATGTGCATACATCTACCGCGTTTGTCCAAACAAAAACTGCGCTCAGTCACATTTTGAGTACATGTAAGTGCATTCTAGTTCAGCAGAAGAAACTGACACTCTGCACATGACATGATCGCTCAACAATTCATGTGCTAAATAATTTTGTCCGAGCAGTGTTTGTGTAAAAGGGGCACTAGGTCCTGAAATCCCCCAAAATGTTATGTTTTGGATTGTTTACTTCGCCTATTTCCAACATCCGGTTGAAAGGAAACCAACCTAAATGTCTTACCGTTCCCGAGAAAAGACAAAAAAAAACCCGGTTGTTTACATCGGACATGACGGAGTAGGAATACGTTTTTCGTGTCGTTCTCAGTGTACGATATATACGTTGTGTGTCTCGGGAACAGCGGTGACCAATCGCCAATGCAAAAAAAAGTGGTTTCTTCACCGTCCGCTAAAGGCGAACACTTTACGAGTGAAATCACAACTAGCGTCCAAACAGCCCGAATTTATGGGGTCGCAAAAGTGGACCCTGAAATTCGTTCTCGCACGCATAGGCCTAATACAGGATTTACACAAAAACGCCCAGTTTTGAAAGGATAGTTGTGTGGATGGTTATATCCTACTTTTAAATGTAATTTCCGATTAACATCATCTCGTTCAAAGCGCGTTTTGTAGCCCAATTGGGCTGTTCCAGGACCTAGATTCCCTTTAAGTTTCACCAAATGATCACAGTAACTGCTAATGTACACATACATACTATGTACTTTATGCCATATAGTGAATAGTCGTTGTCCACGTACTACATATGTGATTCCTTTAAAAGTCAAGTACACGAAACCCATGAACGAATCAGTGTTATTTGTTTAACACAGTTTCTGCTTTTGATACCTTATCAGCGGCTTTTGTCCCAATAAACAATTGTGCATGACGCGTGGGAAACGGTCCAAACACATGTTTTAAGGATTCTGAACTTCCCATTATTTTGTAATACAAATCACTTTGAGTTTCTTTTTTGGGGGGGGGGGTTGGGGTTGGGGGGGGGAGAGGGGATTTCCAATTAGTGTACATAATTGAGTACATGTACATGTATGTGTTTCAATGTGGTTAAATGGAATCAATCCATGATTACTCAAAGATTCCAATCCAATCAATGATCAACAACAGAAAACATCTACTCCACAAAATCTGCCACCTTTTCTATCAGTGGAATAACTATGGGAAGGGGAGACACAGGGCACAGCCCCCCCCCCCACCCTACCAGTCACCCCCCCCCCCCCCACCCCCACCCCACAAGAGCTTTTCCAAAAAATTAAATTTTTCATTTAGAACACATGGAAACATGTTCATTACATGATGTAGTTGCATGTAGTACATTTGCAGGTACTTAAAATGTTGTACAGGGTCTGAAATTCTGAGCAAATATTACTCAGATATGAAGTGAGCGTGAACAACCCAATCAAATTTAAACCAATACATGTACAGACATGCAATACATGTGTTCTGTACCATTTATATCCTGGTGGCCGCGTGTTTCATTCAGCATTATTCTGATATAATGAAAACTGGATGCAAATTATGCAGAAATGTAACAAATCCACAGTAAACAGCTGAGGAAATATTACATTTGTGGACAATAGCACACAAAACAAACAATTGTAGTTGGTTTTTATACTTTGCAATTTTCAGACAAAATTGTAGCTTTCCAAGACTTTCAAGTTTTTACCACCCAAAAAAAAACAGTCAACCAATTTTTCATTTTTCTTATTTTGTGAATCATTCTATAGATTCACAAAATAGACAGAAATCCCTATTTTTCATTTAATAGAGACATTTCCTGATAAAATAACAGGGAAGTAGATAAGGCCAAAAAAAAAAATAGTTATGCTTCCGGTTTCCCTACCTACCCTATTCTGACAACCCCTACCCTAATTTTTTAATGGCAAAAATGAGAACAAAACACCCAAAACCATCAAATTCTACCTTTTACCCTTGACTACACGCAGACGCCTCCATATGATTGTACACAAAACAAATTGGCAAATAAAAACCACAAACTCACTACCTACCTACCCTATTTTCGAATGCCATGTAATTGGAAGCAGGATCAAATTTTTTTGGGCCTAAGTACAAACAAGTTGCCGAGCACTCGTTGATGCATGACATACATGTATCGCTTTTTTTAAATGGGACTTTTTTTCTCTTTTTCGGTAATTTTGCTGCTGCAACATTTATTAGGAAAAAAAGGCATCACTTTTTCATTACTTTTTCATAAGAGAATGAAAACTCACTCTCATGTTTTGAACTCACCTAAAACAGCTGATGTGGACCAAATTTAATTTCTATTTCTGATTCACGGCTCTGAAGGATTTTCTTTTAAGTATTAAAGTCTGCGTACCATTTGACAACTGAATATTCATTCACTCATACAAAAAAAAACACATTTAAAACAAAAATTGGAAATGTAACCTAATTTTAAAATAAGCTTCAATAATGATCTCATCAATGCATGCACTGAGTGACATCATCCTGAACTGTTTGAACAAGTCATACATGTGAGGCTATAGTCAGTATTGTCATCTTGCACCCACACAAAAATGTCAACGTAACAAAAACACGCACACAAAAATGTCAGTGAACTAAATTTAAATCTGGAGATGATCTGCACGGTAGGCAGTGATATTATCTGCATATATTATTATTTACATGTAAAACTGTTAGGCATTACAATTCAGTTTTTATTTTTTTATTTGTTTTACATTTTCCTAAAATCAAATGAACAAGTCAGATCATTATAATTTGAAGTTTATAAAACATGTTGTTTGCCAGTAAATATGGAATTAAGTCATGTTATGTAACTTTGCAATTTTATAGAAATATTCAACAAATTCCAAAACACATGCCATTCCTCTCCTTGTTGCAGAGTGTACTTCAACTTCAAGTTCAACAAACATGAACAATAACATACATTTACCTTCCTACGTTTCCTGTTGCTGTACCGGTAGGCCTAATCCATTTTCTCTTAAGTACGACTCCAGTTCCAATTCGCAAATTTCCCTGAATACAAAACGATCTCAGCGTCCGAGAAAATGTTCGAGTGACAGTAGGAAAACAAAATTCCAGAGAGCGGCCCAAATTTTACCCAGACTGAGCCAGGCAGAGCAACCTGGGGCGGCAAGGATTGGAGGGGATATGGATACGCAGCCTGCGTAAGCAGACGTGAGCAACAATCTTTCTACCCGTCTAGCCTGGGTCAAAGATAATTTTGTTTTATCTCTGAAATGGCAGCATCACCATATCACTCACCGGTGGAGGGAGAATGGGAAAAATCTGGACGATGATGACGCTAGCATCGGCAAACGCCTCCTCTTTTTCGCTCCCTGTATCTCGGGTTAATTTATCGATTCAGCTTAGCCCAGCGTCCACAGAAACCGGTGTACTACCTGGACTTCTTTTATCTCCCACATGTGGACTATCTATCAGAGTCTGGGGATGTTTTGGTCAGGGGTACCAGACGGGGGCTCATCGATTTTGTTCGTCGGGGGAAAAAAAGAGGTGTGCGCTGAAAGCCGGCAGCGATAGCGCCACCTTGCGTTGAAAAGCTGCAACACGAAAGAGACGAACACGATTTTCGCTCGTACCGTACCCCCGCCCTTTGTGAAAGTTGTGTTCATATCATCCATCTTTTGTGGCGTCAATAATTATATTTTATCAGGCCTACGTATCTGGTTTCTCCTTTGGGCGAGAATAGCACGTTGTCGACAGTTTGCCCAATAAAATAGACACGCAATATGGTGATGATTTTTTTCCCGAGCCACATGCGTCTCCTCGGCCTCATAACCGCATTTTTGTTCTCACCCATCAGACATGTGATTTCAGGGGCGGATCCTGGACGTTTTGCATGGGGGGGGAGGGGTCATCGGCAAATCAATGCTGAAATTTAGGTGGGGGGGGGGGGTCCGTACCATGCTTTCAATGGGAGCACTGTTCAAATCCGACGATCATAAACACTACAATTACAGAATAGTGTGCAAATGCCCCCGTACCCCAGCTGGCTCAGTCCGAATGTTGTGCACAGGACGTGGACATTTTTACCATTGTCATCATCTTTTCGAGTGTCCAAGCAGCGCGGGGGGGGGGGGGGGGGGGTGGCCTCACATTGTGTTCAATATTTCTGTGAAAAAAATAATTGAGTCAGATTTGGGGGGTCGAACCCCCCCCCCCCCCCCCCCCCCCGATCTGCGCCTGAATCTAATGCGATAATTGGTGGAGGGAATTAAGCTGAAAATAATTGCATTATGTAATAATATCGATTATTAGTTTTCCTCAAAATATATACCGACGGAATGAAATTACATTTAAAATTGCTACTGGTTGCATATGCATCCAACAGGTGTCACATCAAGAGCTGATCACTGTAAATAGATTCAACTTTGATAGAGTCAGTTCGAAACCCTATTGTGGTATAGCTTCGACAATTTCCCCCTTTTCTTTAAAAGCTTTGCTTTTCACAAGTTCAACTATGGACATTGATAATTATGTGCCAATCAGAAAAACAAGGTTTTTGTACAAAATAAACATAAAAGTTACAACTGAAAAGGCACTTTATTGTTATACACCCGTTAACGCTAAAAAGCACGGTAACTATTTATGGGACTTTGATTTTCTCCGGTTGCCAATTTTCCTTTGGGGCATCTGGGGAGGGGGGGGGGGGGGCTCCCGCCGTTCGATCGAAAAAGAGATGGCCACTTTTCGCCTGCCAGGGAAAATCTGCTTTTTGGGTAGTAAAACAAAAACAAAAACAAACAAACAAACCAACACCCCCAACACACACACTCACGCTTACATAGGCATAGAAGTGGGGTGCTTCCTTTGTTCTCGTGTACTAAAATTTTGCAACGTCGCACACATTATGTCAAAATGCTCTTTTTTAACCATAGTTAATTTCCTGGGCTGAAATTCGGACTGGATATCCCTTTTTTAAAACTCTTCCATTCGCGACTGATCAACCCACCTTGGAAATTCCTAGTTTTTGAGTAAAATCCTTATATCTTTATATCTCTTTGAAAAACTTGTGGGGTACCAAAACGGTACCCTGCAAGTAGGTGGGCATTCTTTATGGGGTACCTCCCATTGTTCCGGTACCCCACAAGGCAGTGTTTGTACACGCACGCCCACACACACACCCGATCACCCCCGCACACCCACAAAGAATTCATTTTGATTTCTGCTGCAGAAAGCAAATGTCCACCTTTCGTCCGCTATAAATCTTGAATTCTTCTATAGGCCTTTCTTTTGTTTGTAAACATTGGCGCCATTTTGTATGGGCTGCCGTAAGCGCATAATTTGAAGCTGTGGTTGGCAACATATTTTTTTTCCAAAAAAGTCCTCATAACGCCATCAACACATAGTAAAAAGGCATATGTGGGAATTACTTTTGTAGCTTTGTTGAAAATGTATTTTCAAGTATCAAATAATATTTTGGTGATCTGTTACAACTCTTTTTCATTTTTGCAGTGTTGGACCTTCCATAGTTTTGCAGACCTTGGTTGGCAAAAATGCAGTTTGTCAACTAAGCGCAGAAAGGTATTGTGGCGGGAATATCTGTGACCCGATCCGTAGTCCCTATACCCAGACAACCTAGCTTAGGATCAGTATCCCAGCAGCCGGGAATGCAGGCCCGTTTGGATGGAAATATACCGCCCTATACGCGTAGCAGCACTCACCCATGCCCCTCAACCTCAAAGATGAACAAGGACAGACAATTAAGTACACAACAGTCAATGACCTCAATTACTGCTTGATTTATTTACACAGAATCAATGTCATATGATGGACCTCTCGTTAAATTATAATGTTAGCCTCTAATAAGTGATTGGTCTCCGAGCCTCTCAATTATCTCTGTAGGGGTAGCCTCGCATTTAGCCGCTACGGTAAGGCAGTGCTGGGCAGCACGGCGATGCCTGGCTGGGGATAGCCTCTGAATCCCGGGTAAGAACCGTACGCCTCTAGCGTTCCTGTGCGCCTCCACTCTCCCGCCCTCGACCGTTTCCAGTCGCAATCCTTCCTCGAGGCGGCGGGTAGATGAGCGCGCCCTTCCGGCTCCGTCACGTTACAATCGGCAGATCGCTGTATGTCGCTCCGCCTCCAGTAGCCTCCGCGGACTCCGTGCCTCCTTATGCCAGCCCGACTTCACCGCACCACCCAGCACACGCCCGTCAGCGCGCGCAAGCTAATTTGCCTACCGTCTCTTCCCCGTAGATGATCTCGGCGTACGCTCGGAAGGTTGTGTCTGAGATAAGCCTAATTTGTGACTGCGTGTGTCTGAGCTGTGTCTACCTGAGCTGAGTCTGTCTCGCAACTGCTCCGGGGCCTTATATAGGGCCCACAGCCGCGAGCGCGCCCTCTCTAGACTACGCTGCTATAGTAATTTGCGCCACAAAGCCTCCTTCTTAGCATGAACGTCCTCGTTCATAACAGCTAAAGACCTGATATTCAAAAGCAAATTACTCAAAACTTTCTTATCAAAGCTTTTAATCTAAACAACGAAAAGGTCCATAACTTCAACACGTCGGCGCCTCTTTATACATGCGCCTCATAACAGAATCATAGTTAACTTTATAAAACTCTGAGAAAACTTTATAGAAAACTTTATAAACTTTTAAGAAACTTTAAGAAAACTTATATAAAGGTTAGGCGAGCCCTCAAATTAGAATCCCTCCCCGGACCGTTCGGGGTTGAGCCCGCCCAGTATGTTGAAGGGATTGGGACCTTGCATGGAACCGATCGGCCTGGATTAACTCCACCAGGCTTCTGCACCATGGCTCTGGCTCATCACAAAGGAACCAATTTGCGACGCGCTAATCCCCCAGTAGGCAACAATGACTGTGATGAGCTTCATAGAAGTTGCCGCTGGTAATCCCAGCGGGCCGAATAATCCTCCAACAATGGCCAGACTTCAATTTATGTTGCCTATTGTGAAACCCTGAGTCACCAGTTTGGACCGATTGGGGCGTCACGCTTCAGTGACCGGGTGGCTTCTGGCTTCATACCGATTGGGGTGAAAGAAATTAGCATACCGGACCCGGTACCCGAACGGTCTGTTATCTGATTGCTCGCCTTATAGAAAACTCTGTATAAACTTAAGAAATGATGGCTTAGAGAAACGAGCCTAACTCATAGGAACCCGTACGAAACATGTTGCCTCTGTGATCTCTCGGTTGCGCTGTTACTTCTTGCGGAAATCTTGGTCGAACTGGACATCGTACACCCTCTCCAACAGCTGCTCACGAACTTTCACACCCTCCTTGTACTCGAGGGTGGTCGACACCTCCTTCACTCGGGTAACCCTGCCCCTCAGTACCTCTTCCAGGGATGTCACGTGGATTGGGCGCAGATCCTCTCGGATGTGCGCAGCTGCTCCGTTGTTGGGTGCTGCCTCAGCCGCCTCATGTTGTTGCAACTCTTCCGCCTCCTCTTCACTGCTCTCCACGTGGTCCTGCTGGGCCATAAGGAGCATCCCCCGAGGCTTACCACCAAGTGGCTTACGCACTGGGGCTGGCACATCTTCTTCTAGCAAGGACAAAGAGGCCGGTGACAAAGACAGTCCTCCACTCGCCTCCGGTCCTACAATCGAGAGATCCAGGGGGCCTCCTTGAGTGATTGTACTCTGCTTAGCGGACTTCCGCTTGGCTGGCGGTTCCTCCTGTGCCTCTGGCTCACTTTGAGTCAGTCGCTTCTCTCCCCGTGGTTGTTCGTCGACGTCGTCTTCCTGATGGAGTATACGTAGGGCCTCTGCCCACGTCTCAGCATCTCCAAGATCCTTCACCTTCCGTCCCTCTGGTCTCTTCACCACCATCCGTCTGGTCTCCTTTGCCGCTTTTTCTCCCTCTTCCGAACGTCGCCGCTGCGCCCGCTCTCTCTCAGTCTCCAAGGGGAGAAGATCCACCTCATGGATGTGGGCCTCGTGATTCTGACGGTAGTGTCTTCGCAAGTTATCCTTCCTCGTACTCTTGAAGGGACACCGTACGCACCAAGCGAAGATCTGAGACGGGCCATGACCCACCTGTCTATGTCGGGCCAGGCTGGTCCTATGCTGAAACGTCAGTGAGCACTCTTCACATTGGAACTTTTTCTTTTCCTGCTCCTTCATTGTGTTTAGTCGTCGTCACCTAATAAGTAAACAATAAAA